TTTGAAGAGCTAAAACATTCTTGCTCAAATAGCTATAAATTTCAATAATTCTATATCAGTTGTTTTAAATTTATTGACAGTTTTACTTTACTTACATTGCTTCCAAAAATTATAATTTTCAATATACATCAATTGGAAGACTGTGTATGATAATTAGTTAATGCAATAGTGCACTGAAATTTTAAATATGTATACATCTCAATATTCTGACTTTTTATGTTACATGTTAAAAAGAAAATATTGTTATTCAAAAATTATCTTTTCTGATTAGTACAAAAGCAGAAGAAATCTTGAATATAATTATTTCTCTTTATCTGTTTCTTGCTCTTATATTTTGTTATTCACCTAATTGTTAGTGAATATCTAAGGTCAGAGGCTTAGCAATTAGTGAACAAAAAAGAAACAAACAAGAAACTTCCTTAAACCTACAATTTTAAAACAAAAATGTACAGAGATGTGGCATTTCATTTCCTGTAAATAAATTTGACTTCAATTTTTCTTTTCTACATAGAAAACTGTTTTTTGATTAAAAAAAAGAAAGTGCCAATAAGCTGACAAGTAAAAGGCACCAGATTTCAAATTTTAAATTTATGCAGTATCTGTGTGTGTGTTGAATTATTCCTAAATCCATCTATAATGGTTACTTTTATATGCCACCTTGACTGGGCCATGTGGTACACCAGATATTTGGGCAAACATTTCTCGGATGTTTCTGTGACAATGTATTTGAATGAGATGAACATTTAAATTGATGGATTGAGTAAAGCAGAATATCCTCCATAATGTAGGTGGGCCTAAATAGAACAAAAGGCTGACCATTCCCAGAATAAGAGAGAATTATCCTTCCTGATAGCCTGCAAACTAGAACATTGGCTTTTCTTGGATCTACAGCAGCTCCTGGCTGCAGGTTTTGGACTTTCCAGTCTCCATCATCATGTGAGCCAATTCCTCTAATCAAATTCTCTCTTTCTCTCTCTCTCACCCTTTCTCTCTCTCTCTATATATATATATATACACACACACACACACACACACCCAAATGTGTGTGTGTTATCTATGTGTGTACACAGTACACAATATATGTCTGTGTGTGTGTATATGTATCTATCTCCTACTGGCTTTGTTTCTCTGGAGAACCCTGATCAATACACCATCCGCCATGTCTGCTTCTTTTCTCCGCAAGGACTACAGTTCCTATTATTTCTATGTAATACATAATAGAATACCAGTAGAATTTCCAATTCTGAGTTTGAAAATTTATTATATAAAATAAACTTAAAATTGATTAATGGCTTATTAAAATACTAGTAAAAATTATGATTATATATCCTCCTGGAGAAGTCAGGTTTTAGTCAGGAAGTGGAATGAATAATTTAAGTAAAAATTCATGTCACACTCAGTAATATTGGAGTCAATCAACTTTTGTTCTTGCAGCCTCTATTTCTATTTTCATCCCTGTAATCTTGCAAATTGTTTTTTTTTTCTTTTGCCATTTTAATGAATGCTGGCATAAAGATTTCCATTTTAATATGTTCAATAAGGAATCCATTCTATTTAATGGCCAAGAAGATAGCATCATTCCGCAGCTAAAAAGTTGATATTTTCAAACTGTGATGCTTCTAAGTTACGTAAATTAGTTAATAAAATATTAACATGAAACCACTAGTAACTTATGTCACATGGACTACTACAGGGGTCTCTTGCCTCCGCACATTCAGTCTTACGCCTCTCCAACTACTTTTTCACAGTAAAGCGAAGTGGACTTCTCAAAAGACTAGTGTGATCGTGTCAAGCCTTGTCACCAGCTTCATACTGTTCTTTACACAGCCTGAAAGTCTGCTCGTATCTCCAACTGTTTTCTCACCTCCATTTTCCTGTTCTCTCAATCTGCTCACAGTACTTTTGTTTTTTTTCTTTCCTAGACTGTTTAATTTGTCGAGCTTCCAAATTTTCCACATTCCTACCCCTCCCACATTCTTTCCTTAAAATGGTTCAGCCTTCAGACTTTTCCTCAAGTTCCATTTCCTAATTGGCAGCTTTCCAGTCACCTCTTGTCATACACCCATAGCATGAAGTACCTCAGCTGGCAAGGTTTTAGTTTAATACTTATCTGATTTATGTCTCTCACACACTAGATTACAAACTCTTTGGGGGCATCAACATTCTTTCGTTATTATTTTTTGCCATTGAATTCTCAGTGCTCACACCATACTTGGCACATACTAAAATCTCAATAAACAGTTGTTGAGGATGTAAATAAGTAAATCACTATGGTATATAATCTCCAACAATAACCTAGTTTGTTTAGAAGTGACAGCAATTTTAAAGAGGAAAAGCAGGTTATTGTGAAGGTCTGATATGGAAAAAAAAAAAAAAAGAAGCAACATTCGTTTCAAGCCTCAAACTTTATTCAATCTGTTTTAACATATATAAAATGATACAGCATTTAAATTTTATTTTATTTTATTTTATTTTATTTTTTTCTGCACAGGCTCACATAGTAATAGGGATTTTTATTATCTTTCTTTTTCTTTAAGGAGAATTAATATAGCCATTGATTATGCAGAGCCACTTCTCAGTGTTCTTTTCTTTGCACTTAAGAAACTGGAATACACCATGATGAGCAGGATAACGCCAAAACAAGATTGCTGGCTCATCATCTAAGGTACAAATACACACAATCATTTGAGACTTTACCGAATGCAAAGCAAGATTCAAGTATCTTTTTTTGTTGTGGTGGTAGACAGCGGAAGCGGGTGCCCAGGGAGGGGAGGACGGCACGGTTTTCCTGGCGGGGACGGTGTGCGCCCGAAGTCCCGTCGTGTCGTGGAGACACTAGCCCATGTTCTGCCGGTTGCCGTGGCCCCTCGGATGGGTGTCCTTCCACTCGTCCCATTCCCGGGCTCTGTGGAGCGTTTGCTCATCGTCTTCCTCCTCCTTTTGTTCTTGCTCTTCCTGTGGCGGGGCCGCCCCCTCGTACTCCGCCGACGTCGCCTTGGCCATGCCCTGGTCCGGCGGCGCCGCGTGCTTCCCGCGCTGCTCGTACCAGTCACTCACCGTCATGGAGGCCAGGCTCGGGTAGCCGGCGCCGAACACCGCGGCCTGCGCCCGGCTCTGCGTCAGAACGAAGGGCTTCAGCGGAGGCCGCTCGTGCGGCGAGGAGGGAGAAGCCGAGGCCTCTCTCAGGTAAGAGTCTTTCTCCCTCAGGATCTTCATCTCCTGGTCGATGCTCTCAACCTCCTCTAAGCTGACGCCAACCCACCTCCGAAGGTGAAGCAGGTAATACTCGCGAACGCGCTCGTCGTCCGCCTGCCCGCTCTCCACGGCAGGTTTCAGCGCGGACAGCCGGCGCTCCACCTCCTTCTTCTGCTCGTACCTCTCTATCTTCGCCCTTCTCTGCGAGGCCATGGCAGCCAGGCTGGCGTAGGCCGTGGAGGGACCCGCGGTGTTGTTCTCTGCCGGGTCGTTCTCGGTCCGGGGCAGCTGGAACTGCGCCACGTGGTAGGAGTGGCACTGAGTCAGGTAGTCCATGAAGTGTTTCCGCGCCAGCTGCAAGTGCTCCAGCCGCTTGCCGGGGTCCACCTGCTTCGAGGTGAGGGCGCCGCGCAGCGCCGGCACCAGCAGGTACCTCAGCGTGGTGGACGCGACCTCCTCCAAGTCTTCGTTCCGGCCGAACAGCTCGAGCTGCGATAACATGTCGGCGGCCTTCTCGAGGACGCTCAGGCCCTGGGACACCTTGTCCTGGACTATCCTGGAGCCGGTGGGCTCGGTCGCTGCTTCCACCTCATCCAGAAGCTGTTTGCCGCTTTCGAAGAGCTCGGGGAGTCGCGGCAGCGGCGACTCGTCCTCAGCAGCTGCCATCTTGCGGGAGGGAGGAACCGGTATTTAAATTTTAAATAAGCTCTGAGTTATTGTGTGGCTTGAGTAAGAGTGATAGTAAACCTTTTCTCCCTACACTGTGTCTCCTGTTTTTGCTTTGCTCCCTTTTTTCCCTCTGATGACTCACTCATGGATATAACCAAATCGATCTCAAAAAAAAAGAAAATGATGAGTGAAAAAATAAAATAAACACTCAATAGACCGTGAGGGGAAACCTAACTTTTAAAAGAATCATATATAAGGACAGTATGTAAAAATTAATTGTTCACCGAAAGTTCATAACCTACAAGTAGTAAAACCACAGATATATAATTAAAAAGTTTGCTATTGAAGCAATATTTTTAAAGTTGCTTTGATTTAAAGTTGAGGGTGAGTTTCTGGTTGTGGTTGAAAGTGTATCAAATGAGACGAGGTGTTTATTTTGCAGTATGGGTAAAATAATTTACTTGAAAATATAAATAAAACCCATATGAATGTGCTTCGGATGGAGACAGGGGCTACTTTTACACATTTTTCCCTACTCTTTTCCTGCTGTCGATTAAAAATAATCATTATGGACATTTGTCAGTTACTTTATGCACAGTAAAGAATTTTGGAGGGTAAAGGAAAAAGAATAGATAAAACTATATATACTATGTCAGTATAGCTACTGTACTATATCAGTATAGTTACTATACTATATTCTACCAGTCAGAATGTGGGGAAACCAAACTGAGATTTTCTAATGGAGAATTTTATTAATAGCAGTCTATGGGAACACATACTAGATTAAAGGAGTAGGCTCTGTTTTAGTAGCTGTCTCCTGTCTATTGCTGGAACACAACATTTGTATGTTTGTGCAGGTGAGCTTGCTTCATTGGTTCATTGGGGGGCTCCCATTAAATCCGAATTTGATATGCCTCCTGAGCAAATTTACAATAGCTTTCATTAAGTTCAAAGTAATGCAGGCTTCTTACCAAGCTGTAAAACAGAAATTTCCTGCTCCTCCACTTGCATATTAATATGATGTTTGTGTACAACCTTGAAGTCTTTCTAATTTTTTTTTTTTTTTTTAAGTAGCCATGGTAAATGCTGGAGTCTCCTCCACTGTGACATCACAAAAGAACTGTGGTGACCAGAGATTAAGAAAAGTTCAGGGAGATTGCTGTATAGGATCTGCTCACTCACATGTGCCTTATTGGTTCTCAAAATTGGCTACACATTTTAACCTCTTTGGGAACTTAAAGAATATTAATATCTGGGTCCTATCACTAGAGATTTCTGTTTATTTTGACTAGAGTGTGACATGGAGATCAGGATCTAGGACACTCCAGGTGATTTTAGTGTGCAGCCAATGTCCAGAATTATTGCCTGGAGTCTTTTTCCCTCTCAACTCCTTTACCTTACAGGTACCCTAATTTGGATGTTTTTAAGTTAGATATAACGAAAACTTTGATAGTTATTAAAACTAATATTATGTTATTAATGTATTTCTAAAAATGTGTAACTTTTAAAATTGTAATAATGGAATTTGTGATGTTAATTATTTTTAGGAAACATTATAGATAATAGTAAATATTTCTAAAACTATTATTTGCAGGGAAAATCAGCAATAAAGCAATGTCTTGACTTATAGATGGCAAACGATCTGGAGAAATCCTTCCATAAGTACTGGTGCTAACATATAAACAACTATACATATTTTATGGAAAAATATGCTGATTATTTTATCCAGCAATAGCTACTCTTCACATTATTTACTTATGAGGGTTGTTCTATGTACTTTTATTTGTTTGATTTATGCAGGTGCATTTTTGTAAATTTCTTTACCTAGGAGAAAGAAAAAGGAATTACAATTTAGTAGTTCATTCCAAAAGGAAACATTAAATTTGCACTTATATGGGATCAAAGCATTCAATCGAAGAATACACATTTGTAAAATATGCTTAAAATGTATGTCATTAAAGAATAGAAATTTTTTTTACAAATAGAACACCCTTGGCTATTAATGTCTATGTAGGAACTATCAATATTAAGCATAATAGTAGTAAGCTTGTCCTAGAAAGGTCTGTCTGCATAAAGAAATAAGTAAAGTGAAATATTTTTAAAAAACCTATACATAAGAAAAGTAATGGATTTTTCTAAGTATAAAAGTACAGAAGCCTGAGAATAAATTTTACATTCTGATTATTATATTTAACAGTTAGTGGAAAGTAGCCTTTTTAACTTTCAGCACAATCTTGAACCTTGTTAAAAGGGAGAAAAGCCATGAAAGTAATGCTGCTTTGTATTTTAGCAGATTCAGACATGCAGTGAATAGATTCTAGTTGCATCTGTTTCCTCATGGCAAATATTCTTATTTTCATGCGTTATTGACCTCCTCCCCCAATTTTTCACTGGCTTTCTAAATAGACATTTTTTCCTTCATCTATTTCATCTTCCATTAAATAAATAAAAATAATTGTAGAAATTGGATTTGTCTTATAAATACAGGACTTTGCCTATTTATCAGAAGCTACATCGAGTGCCCACTTTTTATTAAAATATATTGTTTTATTGGAAGGAATAGTTGCTGAACGTAACCAAAAATGGACTGGCAGACAGTGGCCTGGCCTACTGCACCTGCACGGTGGGGAGCAAGGAATGAAGTGCCCCACCTGGTCTGCCCTGTGCCACCAATGCAGGCTAGGTGGGCCCACCTGCAGTAGCTGGTTGGGGAGAAGGGACCCATTTCCCAGCCCTGACTTCATTTGTGTTCCTGGTACTGGTGGCACCAGTCCCACCTGCAGCCACTAGTTGAGTGATAAGGAACTCATATATTTTATCTTTTGTATTTGTTTTGTGTTCTTGAATTTCATCTCCTAGCTCTTCTATTGAATTTTGTAAATTCTGTTCTCTTATTTTTTAAATTTCTAATGACTCCTTTTTGTTCTTTAAAACTTCATTGAAACAAGCATTATATTATTATTTCATGGCACCCCCTAATTTTTTTTCACAACTTCAAGATGTTAAGGTTTATTCGACAGTTTCTTCTCTTAATAGCACTGAGACTTCTGACTTTCTTTTTACTGTTTTCCATATTCAGGCTTTCCTCAAATGTCTTGGGATCCTGGGCTCCCCATTCACATTTGCTGCTGAGGAACTAGTTCTGTGCTGCGCACTGCTAATCGGTTTCACTGGCAGGAATTGGTCCCTTTCCTTCTTCCTTCTCCCCCTTCTTCTTTGAGGGTCTACAGAATATCATGAAAGATAAAATACTTATGATACTAGTTAGCATGATTCTTAATATTTCTGAGAAAATTTTGGTTTCATTGTACTGAGAGGACTATAGATTGCAGAAAATCTGAAAGTGATGTGGGGAAAGGTTTTTTACACAGTGTCTTGCAATCATATAGTATTTATTTCAAAGAGTTAAGGGGTATAATCATCCCAGATGTGATGATCTGCGCTATCTACTCTTGACTACATGCTAAAATGACACAGTTCAGAGAGATAGATGTGTTTCTTTTAAGGTAAACCTCACCCACTCAGACATTATTATTGGCATCTCTGCACCTTTTTGTGAGACATTTGAGAGATGACTGCACCCGTTGGCTGTGTATTCTGACAAGACTCAACTTCTTCTGTGTCCTCTCATCACAAACTTTTTATTTACCATGAAGCTTATGCTTGTTCTCTTCATCAGTCTTTAGCTTTGTATTTGACATTTATTAATATAATAATCACATTAACTGTAAACATAAAGCTACTCAGTTTCTCTGCAAATTTCCAGTCTTCTTCCTGGAGTCTGTAAGCTTGTCTGCCATTGTTATAGGCACCAGGTTTGGAGGCGCTGGAGAAAATTGTTTAGGGTGAAAGCTTCAGTTTCATCATTCTGTGTTTATTATGAACCTGCTCTTAATTAGTCCTGATTCCTTTCCTTCAGAGCATCTCTCCATTCAAGTTATGAGAGAAGAATCTGTTGTTTTTGCTGAATTTGTAGAGGATTAAGAATATAGTCTAACCAGAAGATATCTGGACCCCTAAGGCTCATTATACAAACTTCCAACCAGTCTTCCTATTGTCCATTCCAGAGAGATACCTGTTTCCCCAGACCCTAAGACGTATTAATATTTAGGTTCTTTTTTTTTTTTTTTTTTTAGCTATTTTTTATTCTACAGTGAAGAAAATAGAGTTCATATTATTTGGGAAAAAATATTTTGAAACAAGCAGTTTTTAGGAGTATGAATAAAATTTACTGCTAAGTTGTAAAAAAACAAAACAAAACAAAACAACAACAAAAAAAAAACAAACTGGGATGAGGTTTTTTTTAATTGGCTGTGGTAGGTTTGGGTTTTGGTTTTTTGTTGTTGTTGATAATTTAAAATATATATATATATTTAGGTTCTTTGGAATGAATCACTTTGGCCTGGGTTTAATTTTTTCCAATTGGCTAAATCTATTACTACCATATTTCTACTTTCAGCTTCCCAAATTTTGTTGACATATCTTGTCTACTGTGGTTCCTCTCCTATTCTTATTAATTTGGGGTACTAATACTTTTAAAATTACAGCATTTTAAGAGATTTTCAAGAGATAGTAAAGATAAATATGTGTTCAGTCTGTCAGGTTTAAGTAAGTATATACTCACTTTCCATATGAATTTGGACATTACTTCAGTAAACATGATATTATATTGCACAATCTACTTTCTGATGTTTCTTATTGTGTTAACATTACATATTTTACATAAATAGATTAAATTGATATGCTTCAAAAGAGTCTATAAAAAATTCAAAAATTTTTAAATTTTGAAACAGGGTAAAGTCAATGGAATACTTTTATAATTTTGAAATTTATTTATTAAAAGTATTCCAAGAAAGTTTTTATCAAAGTAAATCAACATGAAAAGTCTATGTTATGATATATTCTAACAGCTGGTTTATTTGGATTCCTGCTGTATACAACAGAGTACACAGCTCCCTTTCCATCTGTTGTCAATCAAATAGAAAAATCATTACTCTAATAGGAACAAAGATAGCAGAAAAGCCTTATTGGAGACATTTAAATGAAACCAAATATAGCTTAAGATGTTTAACTGAAAAAGTTTAAAAATAAATTTCTAAAAATATGGGTGGTACGAATGTTCATAATTGATGGGTTTTGTTTTCTATAAGATTTGGTTATTCTCACTGTCAATCTAGCCTTGCTAATAAGTATTAAGAAAGCACAAATTGAAATAGTCAGATATTGTCAATTTTAACACAGCTACTATTGAATAAATGAGAGTATAATGAATAACTACAGTTATTACTCTTATAGACATCTTATATAACCCAGCAGATACAGTCACAGAAATCAGAAGAGAGGCAATCAGAATGATCAGAATGATGAAGTTATCTTTACATATAATCTTTATAGTACCTGAGTATTTATTTCATGTTTTAGGTAGGATAACCATCAGAAAAATATGTCCAGATGGTAAGATTGGATTATCTGTAATAAAATATTTCATCAACACCATATTTTATTAATAATTGAAGTAAAATTAAATTATATGCCACTATTTTCCATGTCTTACATATAAGGGAAACAGGGAACAATTATTAATACCAAATATACTCCATAATTTGCAAGCATTTTTAAACTTAATTTATTATTTCAATTCTGCTGACTTACAAAAAATGATTCATATATTATTCAGTATTCTTTGATTGCATGAGAGAAAAGCACACATCGAACAACTTTGCCAATTAAATGTTTCAGCTCACATAGCCAAATAGTAGGAAGCTCAAAGATTATTGAAGTCATATTTGGATGTTACAGAACTCATTCTCTCCTCTGCTTCCTTCTGTAGGCTTTCTTTGTTCCCTTCATCAACTAGACAAGTTTTCTTTATGTAGAAGAGGGCATAGTTTAAGCAGTTTACAAAACTATATCCTCCTAGTCTTACAATAATGTTTAGGCTTTTAACTCCAATTTGAGCACAAAAGTCCTGGGAATGAACTTTTTCTGGGGACGGGGGTCATGAAGTTTTATGGGATGATTATTTTCCACAAAACTATATATTGAAGAGCTAACCACCAGTACCTTAGAATGTGACTATATTTGGATACAGGGCTTTAAGAGGGGTGATTAAGTTAAAATGAGGCCATTAGGAAGGACCCCAATTCAATATGGCTGGTGCTCTTATAAGAAGAGGAAATTTGGATACATAGACATGGGGCGAGGACTGTGGGGGTCGGGCATGTACACAGAGGAAACACCACATGAGGACAGGACGAGAAGGGGGCCATTTGCAAGCCAAGAAAGAGATCTCAGAAAAAAAAACAAACCTGTTGACATCTTGATCGTGGACTTCTAGTTTCCAGAACTGTGAGGAAATACATTTCCGATGTTTAAGCCACCCATCTGTGATATTTTGTTATGGAATTCCTAGCAAACTAATGTACCGTGATTGGCAGTGAACCCTGACTACCCCTTTGGCATGGGAGCAAAATGTCATAACTGTCATTAGAGAGGCAAGGGTGTAGCAGTAGTTAGAAGAAATAATTCTACAAATAAAAAAAAAGGAGAGAGGGACTTCTTTATCTATTTTGTTTTCTTTTTATTTGAGCATATTATGAAGATACAAATGTTTAGGTTACATATATTACATATATTGCCCTACCCAAGTCAGAGTTTCAAACGTGTCCATCCCCCAGATGGTGTGCACCACACCCACTAGGTGTGTATATACCCATCCCCTCGTCCCCCTCCCACCTGCCCAACACTGGATGAATGTTACTACTATATATACACTTAGGTGTTGATGAATTAATACCAATTTGATGGTGAGTACATGTGGTGTTTGTTTTTTCATTCTTGGATACTTCATTTAGTACAATGGGCTCCAGCTGTATCCAGGATAATACAAGAGGTGCTATATCACTTGTTTCTTATAGCCGAATAGTACTCCATGGTATACATATACCACATTTTATGAATCCACTCATGTACTGATGGACACTGAGTTGTTTCCACATCTTTGCAATTGTGAATTGTGCTGCTATAAACATTCTAGTGCAAATATCATTTTTATAGAATGTCTTTTTTTCCTTTGGGTAGATGCGCAGTAATGAGATTGCTGGATCAAAGGGTAGTTCTACTTGTAGTTCTTTGAGGTATCTCCATATTACTTTCCAGAGAGGTTGTAATACTTTGGTCCCGTAGCAGTGTATAAGGGTTCCTATCTCTCCACGTCCACACCAACATTTCTTCTTTTGGGACTTTGTCATAAAAGCCATTCTCACTGGAGTTAAGTGATATCTCATTGTGGTTTTAATTTGCATTTCTCTGATGATTAGAGATGTTGAGTGTTTTTTCATATGTTTTGGGGCCATTAGACTGTCCTCTTTTGAATTTTGAGAAGGAGAAATGAATCCTCAGAAGACAAAGCAATAATGTCTGCAAGTTATCTAATAATATTGAATTGTATATGGTAAGGCTGATATTTTAGTGTTTGAATTTTGAAATATATCATATATAAAAGTAAAATAATGAAAAAACTGGGTTGAAGCATACTAAAATGGACACCCACATATTCACCAAGATAAAGAAACTGAACATTACCAGTATTTATGAATTCTTGAAGCTCATTATGAGACTTCTATATTTTTTCCTTCTACCATTGCCTTGAGAAGTAGTCATTATCTTGAATATTTTTTATTCCTTTTATTTTCATTTTAGTTTTACATTAAAAGTGTATATTACCAAATATATATATGTACATACATATATATTTATATTTTTTCATATTTTACATAAATGGAGCCAAACTCTAAATATTCTTCTGCAGCATTCTTATTTTCTCGATATTTTGAATGTAAGATGCATACATATTATTGTATTTAACAGTAGTTTGCTCTTTTCTTACTGTTACACAATAGTGAAATTATATAATATTGTATTAATACTATGATATACTCACAAATTTGCCAGGATTATATCTAATTTTCCATTTCACAAACAATGCTAATCTAATTCATGTGGATGCCTCCTAACACAAATATACAAAAGTTTCTCTGCCATAAATATTTAGGATTATAGTATAATCTAGGATTGCTGGATATACAATGGTTTTCAACCTGGGATAATTTTTCTCTCCAGGAGACATTTGGCAATGTCTGGAGACATTTTTTGATGCCATGACTAGAAAGGGAGTAGGATGAATGTTACTGGCATTTGGTGGATAGAGACCAGGGATGCTTCTAAACATCCCACAATGCACAGGGAAGCCCCCCACAACAAAGAATTATCCAGCTCAAAATGTCAATAGTGCCATGGTTGAGAAAGCCCAGTGTAAAGGATGCACACCTTCAAATTTGTGGCCCTCCTACTTCACCAGCAGCCCATAGCTTATGAGTTCCTTTAGCTCCACATCCTGCCAATATTTTCTATTGATTGACTTTCTAATTTTTACAGTCTTCTCCATTTTCTGAAGTCTGTGTGGGACTGACTCTATGTGGTGGTGTTGTTTTCTTTGTTACCCTCACTCTGGGAAATTTTTCATTGGTTTTGTAATTTTTTATTTCTGAACTTATATATGCTATTCTTTTACAATAAAACTTCTCATCTTTGCCAGGCCCTCCAGTTCATCTCTTGTCTAATGTTTAGGACTGTTAGAAACTGAAGTTCCAGGCTTCCAGGAAACAGCCCCTGCAGCTAAGAGAACCAGCCACTAAGGAAACCAGCCACTAAACCAGCTTCCATACTTTTATTTACGCTAGATTTTTCTTCGTTTCTTTGTTTTTTATTTCTCTGTACTATCTCCCCCTGTAATTTATTTGCTTTTCTTGTCTGTAAATTTATAAATATTTTTAAATATTTTTTATTTTAAAATATTTTTATTTTTGCACTTTGTAAAACTCAAAGTGATAAATATTAATTACATTTTAATTCTTTTTTCCTCTTAATATCCTATGGTATTTACTAAACGTAAATGTTTTAGTCCTTAATTATATGTTTGTAAGGCATAATTGAAGTTGCATAAATACGTTATTTGAAATATGTCAGGAAAATCTCCCTTACCACCCTTGTCCAAGCTTCCACTGAACCTTAAAAAATGTACTGTGTTTTTTATACTCAAAATGTACAATTTTATACACAATCTTTTCTCCACACACTTTCTGCAAATTCTTTCATTTATGCCTTTATTATCTCTCTCTGATTGCTGTAAGAGACTAATTTCTCATCTCCAACTAGAGGCCATTTTTTAAAAATTTTTTTTTAATTTTTTATTCTTTTGCCAGACTGAGCCTCCTATGAATATATTAGTTACTTGCAAGATAGAACCTTGTTGTTAAGTCTGCTGCATACCAAATAAAATGTCTTTGATTCATCATCTGGCCATCACAATTTCTCTGATTTTAGCTCTTTGCCCTCTTCACCGTGCACCATGTGGTCTGATTAAAATGAACTTCTAATTAAAATGGACTTAATGTTCCCCAAACAAGCTAGCCTTTGGGGGATGTACTCATGTTGTGTATGTTGTGTGTTTCTTCTGCCTAAAAATTTTGTCTACCCCAGCTCTATCTGGAAAATCACAGCTTACATTTACACTGAGCTAAAATCAACCTCTTCTATGAAGCCTGCCTTTAATCTCATGGAAGAATTGGTGACTTCTTTCAGTGGGTCCTGTAACATTTTGACATTTCGTTGAATTCCTCTGAAATAGCATTTATCCTTTGGTACTATGTTGGTATTTGACAGGACTAATAAATCCTTGTCTTTCCCTTCCCACACTCTCAAAATTTGGCACCTACTGAGGGAAAACAGAAGAGTCAGCCATATGAAAATCAAAATGTCAGCTTTGTTACCTATAGAGATGATGGAGAAATTCATTTCCTGGTTTTGCAGTTCAACAAAACGCAGATTTGCCCACCCAGTGACAACACTGGGAAACCACAGGTCTCGCCCACAGCATTTAGGCTGAGAATGGACCAGAGCACATCTTTTCATTCAGGTGACCAGATTCAAAGAGGAAGAGGGAAGGCTGAGCCATGCTTCCTCCTTCTCAACATTTGCCCAACTACAAATAGGAGAAGAAAATGGTAAGGCAGAAGGAAAGAAAGAGCATTGTGCCACTGAAACACAAAGAGAGAAAAAGACACTGCTTACTACTTATGCGTTATTTTTCCCTAGTCTTATGTTTATTTACAAGATTGCATGGTTTGAAGGGAAAGCCATATTTATTATCTTTGTAGTTACCAACTATTTATGTAATGTTTTGGCTAATATCCTGGGATTTAGAGCTAAAGTTACATATTTCAAATCCCAATTTCTTGATGTATAATATAAAATAATATTATATAGGATTTTTGTAACGTTTAAATGATTAAAGAATGCCTTTACTGAATAGCACATAAAAAGCATGCGCTAATTCAAGTTCGTGTAATACATTAGTAGTTTTCTACAATTGATAATGTAAAAGCTTTCCCCCACCTTCCTTTGCTTCTTTCGAAAGATTGAATTTAACTTTCAGAGATTGGATTAAACAATCTCAAATGTTTTGTTTTGAAGGCTGTCATTAATCAAACGATTAAGAAGACAGAGGAGAAGGACACAAGACCATGAGAAAAATGTAGGGAATAGTTCAATATGAACATATGAAGGGACAGAAAATCTTCTTTACTCTTCTGACTTCAGGAAATGAGATGCACTCCTTAAGTAAAATTTTCAAAATAACTGAAGCTTAACTGATGGTCTCAAAAGCTATTGAGGCGCTCTGCAAGCCTCCAGAACCCTGTCCTTTCCCACACTCCAAAAATACTGATTTCTGAAATTCTCAATGCAATTGACCCAGAGCTACAAAGCAATCACTTACAGTTAATTGGAATTCAAATCTCTTAATAGTTCTTTCTCTCTTAAGCAATTTATGCTATTATTTTAAAATACCATTCATATCAAAATGAGACCTTAAGAAAGGCCATCATTTATTTAGGTAGTGTGTAACATTTTTATGAATTACAGAAGGTAAAAAGGATGATTTAAAGTAGCCTGAAAGGTGTATTTATATTTTTGTATTGCTTTGTATTCCAGTTCCATCTGGCGGTGGGGGCCTGGTAGAGAAGCAGACAGTTTACCACCAGCTACCTAAGCTTCCTACTGAACAGCCTACACCTCTCCCCACAGAATGCAAAGGGACAAGTGTAATCTCCACACTAGTGGGATGGGAAATAAAGACACAGGAATGCAAGGAAAGAAATGAAAGGTTATTAAAAATGAATCATAAGAAGGGGCAATGCTTCACTGTTAATCTCTCCTTATTGAATACATGGTGAATGGCAGATTGCCTCTTTAATTTGCCTTTTGTGAGTGCAAGGAATGTTCTCTTTATACAAAAGTAGAAGCAGTTTCTATTTACATGTAGAAAGGAAATAAAGGGGAACATATCACACAATCATACAGTAAAATACAGGTTTCCTTCACCAAATATGATATGAGAAAGTATGTGTATGCCAGATGGGGAAAATATGTAAGCCTAATTTAATATACATTAGATGGTGAATTTTATAAGTTATTAAATTGCATGCTAGAGTGATTTCATTTTAATCTTAGCATGCATCTTGTAAAGACACTTTGTATCAAATCTTGACTATTTAAGGGTCAAGGATTTAAAGGTCAAGGATCAATTAGTTTGTCAATAATATTTCTGAGATTGATCAGGAACCTGGGATAAATTCATCTTCCCATGAAGATTTAGTCATTTGGTAGTAGCTAATGAATATTTTACCAGAGTGGAGGTGGGGGAAAGAAGTATAGATAAAAAAGAGCCCGCCTACCCCCCAACCCCCAACCCCTGCAAGCAAATTCAATGACCTGAAGCCTGGGTCTCCAATTGTCCCACTGTTGAAAGAACCCACATTCAGCAGCTGTCACATGACTGAGCCTCCCTGTAGAGGTAGGTGGTTTCCAAGTTTCTTCTCTGTGTTAACATGGTCAGAGAGGTTAACTCACAAGCTGGTTAGATATTAATAACGTATTTGATATAAATTTAATTTTAGAACATTATAAATGAGGCTACATTTCCTTAAGAAAATGTTTAAATTAATACTAAATGCATTGGAACTACACTTTAAGTAAAGATCTATATTACATAGGAGATATAATTCCTTAGATATAAATATTAATATACTGTACATAACTTCCAAGCCTTATGCTAACGCCTACAAAGAAACCCAAAAGTTTTGTCTTAAATCAAAAAGTTGCTGTAAATTATTTCAGGTTTGATGCCTTTTTCAAGCATGTCTCAAAAAAAAAAGCCCATTTCCCTCTACATTTCTATAGCAGTAGGTTTTAAATGATGCAAAGAGTATGGGAAATATCCAAATGGAAATTCAGCAATCTTATGTTAAAATTAAATCTTTTTGTGTAAAATATAAATTAGAAAAGCAACATTTCACAGCATTAATTTTAATTCAAGTGGAAGAATCAGAAAGGGCTCATTGTCTTCAAGGGGAGATGACCTGAAGGGGTTGGGCAAAAGGGCAATGTGACTTAGAAAGAAAGAGAAAAGTGATTACATTAATTTTAACAGCACAATAGCAGCTTTCAATAAGCTTTATGACAGCAGAAAAGATTGATTTTTTTTGCTCTTTGTACTAAAACGTGTGGTGTCCTAAACTATATTTTGCCAGAAATCTAATACCTATAATTTATTGTAGCCCATATTCTCAATGTTAAAAGAGGAAAGAAGGCAAAAGTCTGAGGGCTTAAAATATAATGGACTGTAAATTCATTGCTAAAACTCAATTGGAGTCTTGGAGATTTCCTTTTAATTTTAAAATGCACTTAAGAAAAATTAAAAAGCACAAGGAAAGCTATAAAATGGTGTGAGAACACTGTGTTTTCCACGTTCCATCTCTAAGAAATGATTTGAGTTTCCTGAATCTAAAGGTGGGAGTAAAGGGCCTCTGGCTTAAATAGAAGACATGCTGTTCTGAAAAAAGACTCCAGTCTACTTGCAACTATTAAAGGGCAGGAACCACATTTTTCTCAGGCAGATTTACTTTCCAGTGTAGGCATTAACATCACCCTGTTGTTTACTGGTCCTTGTTTATAGCCTGCAGTCGGAACAACACTACTGAGGTTTTCTCTGCTATTCATTCTCTGAAGTCTTGGACACTATACAATGTGGTTTTCTTTAAGAAATTGTTTTTGCATACCAGATATATAGTCTGGAAAACCACAGTAGTGATTTCAATAAAAACTTTAAGAAAATATGGCAAACCTAAAGAATCTTGTCCAGAGGTGACCTAGATCTTTTTGTTTTCTTCAAGTTTAGTATAAGTTATCAATATGAAGCAGCTGCTGAAAGGTATTAAAATAAAACTATCTAAAATAAAACTATCAATAGAAATTATTATCCAGAGGAGAAGTAATGTTTTATTCAATGTAAATGGGACAATGAAAAATTAGAGTACTTTCAAAGGAGGAGGAGGAAAAGAAAGAAAATTGGAAGCCATGCCATATAAAGCCTCCCTTAGAATCCCAAAAGTGCCTTTTCTTAAGAAGAAATGATTTGACTGAAGGTGGTAGAAGGGTATATACTAAGCGGCTTCATATGCCTGACCAGCTTTCATTCAGAAAAAGGATTAGAATTCTGGTTATCTTCTGATGGTAGATCTAGGACAAAGGGGAAGAAGGTCTGAGCAAGTGGGTTGTTACTCATTATTGAGGATTATATGACAATCAGGGTTGTTTGGCAATGGAAGGGATAGTTTCAATGAAGCACAATCTCCCTATCACTGGAAAACTTCAAGAAGTTAAATCTTCTAGGAGAGTAAAATGATTTCAATAATGACACAGTGACAGCACAGATGGTAAAGACTTACCAAAAGAAACTTTCAATTGTATGTTATAAACATGTATCTATTTAAAAATCATAGTACATATCTCACCTTTGTCACAGAACACACTAAATATATATTAAATACTTAATTTAACAAGTATTTATGCAATAGCCATTATGCTGTAGATATTTGGCTAGATGGTAGAGTTCAAATAGGGAATGTGACAAACAGGGTCCTCAGCTTTATGGAGAGATTCTTCTCTGCAGACAGTAGTCTTTAGTTTGATGAGCACAAAGAAGGGTACGTTACCTGTTGTAATTGAAGATAAGTGTGCTAACTCGGGAATTTGTGTAGGTAGAGGTGGGTGATCTGTTAAAGTTTTTTAATCCAAGTTGAGACATTCAGCTTAGTGATACGTAGCTAAATGAGAGGAATTGAAGGATTGGAGGGAGGGACAAGGCAAGGGTGTTCCAGGCAAGGGGATCAGCATTCGTGAAGCCCCAAAGATGAAAAGGAGTGAGAGGCATGAACTCCCACATACTTGAGGAGCTAAAAGAAATTCAGTATATCACAAAGCACTTGCTAACCTCTAAGCTTCTTGACATCAACAATCTTCTTTTAATAAATGTGCCACAGTGTCTGGAACATGAGCTGTTAAATAAAATATGTGTTATATAAAAATAGATTAATATATTTTGAGTGGGGAGTTGGTGTTAATGTAAGTTAGACTTTAACTAGCGTTAGCAGGGAAGATCACCTGAGACCTAGTAAGAAATGATAAAATTTTTTCTTGATCTTAAAAGAAATTAAGGATCAGGGGAATGGTTTTAATCATATAATAAGTCAAGGACTATTGCTTTTACAAAGAACCTATATGTGTCACAGGGACAGATCCTATATTATATTATTATCAATTTAAAATATATCAATCCAGACCTTTCTTAAAAAAAACTTACATATCAATTATCTATCAATTATAAGCTTTTTCGTACAAACATCCCCAGTATCAGACTCACAGTATGCAAGTCAGCATGCATATATTTGTGATTCATAGAATTGTTTTTTCTTCCTCTATTAAAAAATACAAACTCAGCTTTTTATTTTACTTGTTTTTTTAAAAAAAAATATTTAAATGCTAATTTTTGAATGTAAAGAAATGCAATATAGATATTTTAAGGCAATTTCTTTCTAATTATTACATAAAATAAGTAAAATTATTTGAGGATTATTTTTTTAAACAGAATAAGAGAAGAAAGTGAAGAAAGACCTAATTGTGCATATTGAATGCTATGGAGATAAGTGAGCATTTAAAGGATATGGGGTTATCATTTCATGCACAAAAAGACATCATTTACTGAATGATACTCTAGTGCCCTGGGAGAGTTAATTTACCTAACATGGGTGAACAGTTTTTTCACAGGAAGCAGTTTTCTCATTTTAGACCCATGATATTATTTAAATAAAAAGAAGGGTGAAAGAAATGGGCAGAAATAATCTGTCTTCTGTGCATTGATTATAATTAATATTAATTTCAGTGATTGCTATGAAAAAGATAGATGTGTCCCTGCTAAAATAGTGGAGTCTTTGCTTTCAGAGTTAACTTCTTATTTTCTTTTTACATATTTATTAATCTTTCACAAATTACCTAACTAATCTTCAGAGTCAAATTAACAAGCCCATCAAACATTTGTCTCATTAAAAACAGTCGCTGGCAATTCTAGAATAAAGTGATGCTTAACCAAATTCATTCCTGAATCACAATCATTGTTCATGTCAATTCAG